ACAATTAATTTTTATCTACAAAGTAAACTTTTTGTAGATAAATACAATATATTAAATGTTAATTTATCGTGTATACAATATATATTGTAAGAGCGATAGTATGGTGTACGATACATATACATGTATATTATTATAAAAAATAATAAATAAAATGCAATTTAAGTCAACACTGGTTATTCGTGTGTGTTTTATATCATTTATTTAAAGTGAATATTATAACGTATACGTTTCGACCTATGGTCAAGGTCCTCTTCAGTACAAAGGAATTTACTTAAACTATTAATTACAAAATTACATAATGATAGTCCATACCGCTATCATTATGTAATTTTGTAATTAATAGTTTAAGTAAATTCCTTTGTACTGAAGAGGACCTTGACCATAGGTCGAAACGTATACGTTATAATATTCACTTTAAATAAATGATATAAAACACACACGAATAATCAGTATTGGCTCAAATTGGCATTTTATTTATTATTTTTTAGATTTTTCTTTATTGATTATCTACATTATTATATGTACATATGTACCGATGTACATATAGTAACATCAATTTCATGAGAAATCGCGAAATGTTATTATATATTATTTATTGTATATTAATGAAACTGATAATATGATATATAATTCATGATGAAACTGCATTTTAATTGCATAATTATGCCCGACAACGTGACTCGACATTGCATTAAGGTATAATTCTTGTTAATCACAATGGATTTTCACACCTCTCACGATTTATACGCCGTGTTACTTAAACTTTGCTCCATATCTATATACACACATAAAAAATTTATTCAAATAAAATTAATGTAAAAATATGTACAAGCTTTTTTATAAAACATTTTATAAGTATATATAACGTCTGTATACGCGTGCGTGCGTGTGCGTGCTTGTGTGACAAATTGATAATCGCATTATCAAAAACCTTTTGCCAGATGTAGTTTAAATGTGAAGTAGAAACATCTATTGGATGTTCATTTAAATAAATTGTTAAAAAAGAGTAATTTGATCGAAATAAATAATAATAATATATTTATAATTACATTTATCAATTTGTTTCACAATTCTGATAATTTATTTAAATAATATTACATAAATTTGAACAATTTAATAACTTTATCTAAAATTGTAAATAATGTAATATGAGGTGAGGTAAATAAATATATAATTGTTTATTAAACTATTTCATGTTTTCTAAAGAATAAAATAATATCTAAAATGTATAATACATAACAAAATCTCTCTGTCCCATATAATTTTTAATGTATAATAATTTAAAATTTTATATGATACTTGTTATCAGAGAAATATTATAATATATAAAAAAATAAATAATATTTTTAATAATTTAATAATTTTGAGAATTTCATATTTTTCATTAGACCAACAATTCTCAATTTCTATAAATGATGGAATGGAAATTTCATCATTTAAATTTTTTCGCATTCTAATTTACTAACAACAGTTACAAAATAAAAAATATATCATGCTGCTCTCTTGATTTAATATATCATTTCATAGATTATGTAAGAGATAACAAGGTGTTTTAGCAAATTTCTTTATGCAACAAGCAAGTTATTATTAGATATTAGTTCAATTTTCTGTAACAATAAATAAAAAAGGAATATTTCTAATTTAGATTCAACATAGAATGAGACGAAGAAACAGAAAAGATAGGATAGCTGCGAAACGTTTAATTACCCTAATCCATTTGAGTGTGAAACAGCCATTAATGATTCTTTCGTTACAATGAGCTTTGAGATGTGTCGTTGTATATACGAAAGATTAAAGAACAAAAAAGCATTTTAGCTTTTACTTTGAATATTATTGTATTCAGTCTCTAGAAATTAACATTAAAGTTCAATAAATCTTGTTACAACCTAACAACATGTATTTTTTAAAGTACAATAGATGTACTCGATAAAATTTTTGAATTAAATCTTTTGACAGAAAAATTTGTATATATAATGACTATCATATTTATCGCAATTTTCTTGACAATTCTTTGATACCATGACAATTAAACATCAGATTAAAACATCGTTGAAGCAAAATCCACTTGAAATTTATTTAAAAAATAGAATATTGTTACTCTTTCAATTTAAATTTTCAAAACTTAATTTGTTTAAAGTTTAAATCCTTTAATTTTCCTTAATTTAAAATTAAAAATATTTGTCTTTTTCGCTTAATAAAAATATATTTAAAAAAATTGCTTTTCATATTTATTCGAGCAGAATTAAAATTAATTATTAAAGTTAATTATTATTCTATAATCTTACAAAATTAAATATCATTTAAAAATACACAAAAAGGTAATTAAAAACTAAAATATTTATATTATTCTAAAAAAATTTTTTATTGTTTTAAATAAAATATTATTCATATCATAGTATTAAGCATTTAAAAAAATTAAAAAGTTAAATGATGATTTTTAAAAATCATTGTAATAACATGATTGTGGTTTTGTTTCATATAATTTTTGCTCTCTCTCTCTCGTGAAAAGTAATAGTTTTTGATATAATAGTGTATAATTGTTATCTCTTTTTTTCTTTCTTTCTCAACTTCTTCTCTCACACACAAACACACACATACACACACACACACACACAAAACCTTAATTAACTTCTTTATACCAGTACATATGATCGAACTCTCTAATCTCAGCAAAAATTATACTCCTCGACGTATTCTATATTCTCAATCCGCTGTTACTAGGAACCTGTTGCGATATCTAATGATATATGCAAAATTCGATCCATTTTTAGCAATAATTTTATCTTTATTTCGCTCGCTATTTAATCTATTTTACTAATTTATTTTTAATGAATTAAAAATTATCACCATTCAGGTGCACGGACGTTCTTTCCCTCTCTCTAGAGAAACTATAAATAAAAGGAGGCAGAATTGCGCGCGGTGGCTCGCTGTCAATACCAAAGTTTGATTAACCGATTTAGCGAGGAAGCTTGGTTATATTTTGAATTAAACTCCGCACGCACTGAATGTGTACGCAGGTACGCGGTTTCTACAGACAATACCGATTTATTACCGCGGCATTTGCATACTCGATAGATGCGCCAGCAACAGAGAATGCCTAGATAATCAAACATAAGATAACGATCCTGTGTAGGAAGCAATATGGTCATTATAAATTGACAGTAACATTCGCGTGTCGAGAATAAGGATATACGATAGCGTATAAATTTCCGTTTGAATTACAAGAATATTGCTTGAGCAGTGGCATAATAAACAATCAATTTAAAAAAACATGTTCTCTATATTTATTAATCCTTTTAATATCCGATTCATGAAATGAACTGATAAAAAGTGTACACACGCACGCGCGCGCGCGCACACAGAGAGACACACACACAGAGACACATATAATACTACTGTGACGTGTTTATATATCTTAAAATTCTTCAAAAAAAGAGTTTTGTGTGACATTTTGCGTGCACATCTTTAAAATATAAAGTATTTAAAATTGTTGAAAAATACGACTCAAGCTCTTGCACAAATGTTTGACATTAAATTAAAATACTATTTTAATATAATAATATCAAACATAAATTTTTATGTAATTGTAAATATAACTCATGTATTTGAATTTCAATACGAGACATATCTACTTACGTTATTCTTATAAGTATAACGAATATAATGATTTCTGATTTTTAAGCTAAATAAATATCATTGATATGAGGGCAGAATATTATAGAAAGTGGAACATTGTAGAAATTAAAGATAATATATCAATAATCCTCTCATCAACGAGAGAAACATATACGAGTAAAGTTGGAGGCGCTACATACATGTCGTTTCACTATTGGTCATTTAATCGATATACACCAGAACTACATAAGCGGTTGGTCGCGACATAAACAGGTCTTTATCATTATGCAGCTCTATCTAGCGTAACCCAGTTTGATTATTGATATCATTGAATGAAAAAAATAGTGCTTCTAAATGTCAGAATGTTGACTACGTCAATAGCATAGACGTAGACGATTAATAATTGACGAATGAAATTTAACTATCTCCATCTGCAAAGATGGAGATAGTTAAATTTCATTCTGCAATCCTTGCATCTTATTCTCTTTTCTGTCCCTATTTTACGATTTGAGAATTATCATGAGAAATACGCCTAGAAAGTGAAATAGAATTATATAATCGCAGAACAATTAAATCGCGAGCACACTTGCGTATAACATGCATAATGCACAAAGAATAGAATGGTTAGCTAACTATAACGTGAGATGCAATTAACGAAAATTACTGAGATTGAAGATTGCGTTTAATGACCTTTATATAACATCAATATTTAAAATTAACATCTATATAAACGCTAAATCGACGATGTAATAATTTAATATACGCTTCCGTGTAAATTAAATTTTAGCTAAACTGATTACTTTAATTCGAGAAAGAGTTTCTAAACCATCTTCGACAATTGTCTTTTAATTTAAAAATCAAAGAATCAAATGTCAAATGTATCGATAAAAATTTAATATATAACAATTATAATATAATGTATCCTGTTCATGCATGTAATTTCACATATTTGCAAAAATATTTTTTCTGTAGACTGAAAAGCATTAAAAAGACAAACGGAATAAAAAGGTATATTTAAGAAAAGTTTTAATATATAAATCTCTATATTTTTAGTTCAGATTTTCACACTAATGAGTAAACTGATTGTAAGTTACAACAAATTGTAGTAAGCTTGAATTCTCATCCACTGTACATGTACTAAAATAATCGCAACCAGAAAATACCGTTCAACCCACTCCATTCCGTTGCCGGAACTGCCCGAAGAACATAATCTCCAAACAGAGAAAACACATATTCTCATTTAGAAAACCGGCCACATAGCTTTTGGCTTTAACCGTTGACACAGTCGACCGTAAACAACGTCGGTAATAATTCCCCGTGAAACAACACTCTCGCACACATCGCGGCATCGTGTCGCAACGTATCGCACCGCCAGTGTTTCCTACCTTCGTTCTCGTTATTTCCAATCAGGATCTCGGTGTTTTTGAAATCCGCCTCTTTGACCAAGTCCAATGGATCTTTAGGCAGGAAGACTCCGTCGATGGTGGGCGCCGACGGGAAGTCGAGAATGCCCCCATAACTATTCCACTGCTGCACGGAGAGAGTTTTCGCGTCCACCGACCTCATGCAGGCCATAACACGTGCCGGGTTTTCTTGCAGCATTGTCGAATTGCATCCGCAATCATCTACCAGCACACGAGCCACCTCGTTTGCCTTTTCGCCGGTCATGTAACTCCATGGGGCGTTGAGGGTGCCACTCTGAAGGATACCTCGACGCACTAGACCTTGCGTGACCGGCGAGATGAGATGTAAGGACACTGAACTACCACCCGCAGACTCGCCAAAAATTGTAATCAAATCGGGATCGCCGCCGAAGACGCGCGCATTTTCACGGAGCCACTTAAGAGCCAAGGCCTGGTCCCAGAGGCCCATGTTACCCGGCGCCTCTTCGCTATTGACAAAGTGCTGATTGAGGTACAGAAAGCCAAAGGCCCCGACACGATACTGTATCGAAGCAATGATCGCATTACTGGCCGCCGCCATAATGTCGGCATCGTAGACGTCCAGGGTGGCGGTGCCGCTCATGAAGCCGCCGCCATAAACCCAGACCAATATCGCCATACCGTTATTACCAACGTTGTCTGGCGACTCCTTATGACGTAGACGCAACTTCTGCGGCACCCAAATGTTGAGGTAGAGACAGTCCTCGGAAATGTTGGTATTAGGATTCCACATCTCCTCACCCTCAAAGCCTGGAAAGTACTCGTAGCGCTCTTGATAGCAGCTATTGGGCAAGATGGTAGCGTTCAGAATCCCGTGCCAGGGCTCAATCGGCAGCGGCTTGCGAAATCGCAAAGGCCCAACGGGAGGTTTCGCGAATGGCACTCCATAGAACACATGAACCTCACGATCGAGCACCGTGCGAGAGAAACCGCGCATCAGCCCACTAGTAGTCTCCACCACTAAGGACTCGTGACCACCGTCTTGACTACCGTGCTGACCGGCAACGTTCGCTCGCGTGATGCACGCGCTGTGCAGGCTCAAGCCTAACAGCAACAGCAGCAAAGAGGACGGACAGTTCATCCAAGAACTCATAATCAGACCGAATATCTTAACCGCACTCGATAAGGAACACCGTCGCTAATCGGTCAAGACAGACGTTTCCGAGTGTCTCTTCAAAAATCCTCTTCTGGACAATGGAAATAGGTGCACACTGTGTGGCTCGACTATTTGTCCTTCAATATACTCCCGCAATATATGCGATAGCCTCACGTAAACGTTGGCGTTATGGGGAAATGAATTCGTCGAGTTTTCACCCGACACACGTCGTTAGATTTTCAGAAGAGAGATGCTTCGGGCGTTGTCTCTTGTCGTTGTCGTCTTCGTCTTCGTCTTCGTCTTCGTCTTCGTCGTCACCGTCTGGGAAGGAGTTTCCTCTTATGCATATGGTGCATCGAAAGGATCGCGATATTGGACGGGAGATGCCGGAAGAGTGATTCTTTCTTTCGTGAAGAGTAAGGCGATTTTGAAGGATAGAGTTTCCTTAGGAATCGTCGATCTTGTTCAAGTTGCACTCAATGCACTTTGTGTGTTGCTTTTTAACGGAGAAATACTTTGCCATTCTATAAAAAGACACTCACCATGTTTTTATCGCTCTGTGCATTTATATTTGATATCGGTCTTTGAAAAACGATAACCTCCGCAATCCGCTATAATATCACAGATAAATAAATACGATTTAATGAATTCGTATTTATTGGATTGCTCGATTTGCCTAAAGATTGGCATTAAAATACATTGTGCATTAAAATAAAAAAATAATTTTGCAATTGTGCTATCGCGATTACACATTTAACTTTAATTCTCGCGCAATAATTACAAAACTCGCGAAGGAGTAGAGATTAAAATATAAGAATGACTCATTTTTTATATAGTTATTAAGTATTATCATAAACAAATTAAAATATGTTGAATCTCTTTTAATGATAATTCATTTAAAAAAACCACAGTTTGCACACGGGCAACTTTATTCCTCCAAAATGCTCTACTCTTCTAAAAAAAAAAAAATCATCTTTTGTACAATGATGCTAGTCATTTGAATTACATTTGCTTTAAAAACATTAATAAATTAATTTAGTTGAGACTTAACTTTTTTATTTATATATGATGCATAATAATTGTATAAGAATAGAACGAAACAATAAATTTCTGTTCAATTATTTGAAATATCAATGCTAAATCAAAAATTTTGTTAAAAGATAAATCATACATTGAATTCCACAATATAATATATTACACTGGATATTTCTGTTTGTTACAAAACTTTTATAGATCATTTAAAAATAATATCCACATAAAAAGATTTAGAATTGTCATAAAGCGCGTCCCATGGGCAACATATCTACCTAGAGAGAGAGACTCAACAAGTTAGCGAATGGAAAGTCAACATTTCCGCAATGGAACAATAATTTTTCTTTTTCGATTCTTTAAGCCTATTTAAAAAAAGAAGAATGAAATGAGATATATACACTTTGACAAATAAATCAATTCACTAATTAATAAAACTTAAAATGTTTGATAAGAAATAGCTTGATGTGACAATAAGAATAATTTATTATAGTTTTTACAGAATGTTTGAAAATAGTCATAATATTATCACGTGTTATAACAAATTATATTACTTGCCATGATAAAACAACAATGATTATTATCTTGACAAATAGTTATCTACGCGCGAGAGTCTGCAGTTTAACCAAAGGTAATTAATTTTTGATTCTTTCTCTTTCTAGAAGGATTAAAACGAGATAAAAAGTTTATTATTTTACGTTTAAAATTAGCATTTTAATATAAAAGCAGCCGTATGCATTTCGATCACTAATCAAGTAAATTATGCTCTGCATGGATAATCGTATTCCTACTTCGCTTCCGATTATCGCATTACATGACCGTTTGCGACACATGATAATAATTTCGTATTTCGCGAATCAATTTCTACTTCCGACTGTAGCATCCGCTGTAAACCGCAACACCGGAATACCGCACGGTGTCGATTGCAATAATACAGTCCACCACGAATCATCATTAAAGCTTCATGAACCAAAGATAAAATCCTGCGACGATGTATGCATACTATTAAACCGCTAAGCATTCATCACTTCGTACAATTAAAATATTTATTAAAATATCAAATTGGATATCTAAAATTATCAAAAATTTCGTTAAGATTGACTAAAAAATCTTATCGGCATAAGAAAAGAATTTCTTTTTGAAAAAATTACTTTATTACAAATCCTGAAATCTGTTTTTAGAACCACTAAAAGCTCATGTATATTAATTTATTAAATATATATAATATATAGAAACATCTCATTTTTACGTATTAGCATATATCCAATGACTTTAAATTGAAATATTCGATCATTCGAAATATCAATGGTAGAAATAATATCTATTACTGAAAATTTGATTTTTAGTCATTTATCACCTAATTAATCTTATTTTCCCAACGTAAAAAAATAATTAATAATGTAAAAATATAACACTTACAATTTAATTTCTTCGACGAAAAAAATTTTTTTAATCTACTGTCGAGCTGTTGTTTTCTTCGATTAGAATCAGTTTATCATTTTAAATTGATTATACTTTTCTGAAGAAGAAACGATTAACTCTAAAACGATTAAGTCTAAAAAAGGATCAATTAATTACAAAAGAATAAAAGGACATACTATATAAGTTAGGAATATATAAAATATCGCGATTCCATAAGAAAAAGAAAGAATATCTTAAAATTAAAAGATATGGTCTATTCTAAGATTAGTAATATTCTTAAAATTAAGAATACAACTAAAGAATATTCCAATATTCTTCATATCACAAGGAAGAGAACTTTTTTCCAGACATACAAGCACGTTACTCCGTTTTGAATAATGAATCATCATTGCTTCGCAAAGAGCAAACTTATAGCAACTTCTTTACACTAAATTGCAAGTAACGTATAACGACAAACAATTTCTTCAAGATATATTCTCTCAAATAATTTTTTGACCCGATCAACTAAAATAATTCTAACACTACTTTTTAGAGAGAGAACCGCCATTGTCCCTTTTCACCATAAAGTCACGCCAATAGCCACGCACAAGCTATTCCTCATCAAAACCACGAGCTTTCAAACAGCCAATTTCCACCCTCTAACCCGATCATCCCCGTCACAATCCTTCTCTTCTTTCTCCGTTTCCTCCTTCCTTTCCTCTTCTTACTTTCTAAACTCACCCTTTCCCTCCCATGCACACTCCCGTACACAATATATACACGCACGCGCGCAGAATATAGAGCTCTCAAAATCGCTTCCGCTTACTCGTCCCTCTTTTCACCCCCTTCTCTCAAAGTATATCGTTCCAGAGACAATTTGGTGTCACTTCTTGTGATATACTCCTATTCTATCTTTGCTTCTCAATGACAATCGTTGTAAATTACGATTTCGACTTTACGATTCCGGCGGGCTTTCACGAAGAGCGCACCACATATGTGGACACAATATCACGCGGCAGCCGGCATGCCGCGTTGCACGGGGTCGACTGATCAAGGAGGCGAAGTGGAGGTGGTGCTGATGGTGGTGGCGGCGGTGCTGGCGGCGGCGGCGG